TCACTAGGAGGGAATACCCAACAACATGAAATTTTTATACATAGCATAACAAACAAAATTTAAATATTTCGTTTTTAATGTTGCTATTTTTAGTGAAAATATCCACAATTATTACGGCAGGTTTTGAATAATCGTCATTTGTTCTCGATCTTCATTTCAACCCCAAAACATTTTCTGCAATCCAGGTGCAAACCGTGGGCATCGTTGTTTCTTCGGACAGTCCCTAAAGAAGTGCTCCGTGCTTCCACGGTCGTTACAAACGCCAACACTCCTTCCTCTCATCCTGGACAAGAAGCAGCAACAATAATCAAATGTCATTACTACTCGAACTAAGAAAGTGAACAGAAATTCATGATCACTGCCATAGTTTTCAAAGCAACTCCACCCCTTTCCATATATTCTAAACAACAATACATACGCCTGCAGTAATCTTCTAACATTACAAAACAAGGCAAGCAGTATATTTTCTACCAATTCCACATATGCATTCATATTTTACAAAGTATTCGACATATTTTCACCACATTTTACATCGGCTATGGAATTAACAAAGTGAACGATATAAGCAAAAACTTACTTTTCGTGTACGGTGTTTACACATTATACTCAGAGATGTTTTCTTAGATTGTTTGGCGCCGATCGGAGGTGGAGATGAGGCGATGGCTTCGAACGAAGAGGGTTTCCAAGGTTTCAAGTCGATGAAAAGAAGAAGCAAGATAGGGTTTAACTTTGGGGTTGGAGATTAGTGCGGCTGTTGTGGACGAAGGCGTCGGCCGTATGTGGAGAAGAGTACGTCAATTTGTACGGTTTCAATCGGGGAAACGGTGAAGCAAGCGGTATGAGATATAGATTCCATTTTCCATTTTTTTTTAAATAAAGGCACGTGCCACATCATTCCATGAAACTTTTGTGTACCATGTTTATGTACTTATAGAAATAAAAATGGTCGAGATAATAATGGAGGTTAATCAAAGTTTAATTGATATTAATTTGAATAGAGTTTTTACGAACCTGAATTTTAAGAGTAAGGGACATAGATTTATGAGACTTCTAAAGTCTGGATACCTTGAAATATGTTTTGTGTAACGTAAAAGTTTCTCGTTTATAAAAATGATACGATTTTTCAGAATATGCAAAAATAGAGGGCGAAAAGTTTTTTATTAGTTGACACAGGTATAAATATTTTAGATTTTGTCGTTTTAGTATCGAATTGAACTGAATAATTGATGAAAATTAATGCCGTGGGGTCATCTCATGACTTTGAACAAAGGTAATTGTTTCTGATCTTTATTTTTTGAATAGTGATGGCAAAAAAATCCGCCCCGCCCCGGCGTCGCCCCGCCCCGAATAGGGCGAAAAAAACCCGCCCTGACGGGTTGGTGGGGCAAGGCGGGGAGGGGGTGCCCCGTCCCGAAGCACCCCGAACCCGCCCCG